CAGGCCACAGCCTTTTAGTCAGTGGAGGGTGAACCTCAGTACCAGGCCAGGGTGGTGGCTGCATTTGTCACAGCCATGGAGCAGGGCCATCTCTGTGGACCTGAGGAGAGTCCTGTATGCAGGTGAGGTATGGTGGGTGGCCCACGACCTGAACTGTGGGTTGTGGCCAGTCTAGGCCCTGCTCCACTGTAAACACCAGGGAGCTCATTTTCAAGGAGCAACTAACTTCCAGGGAGATACTCAGCCTCTCGGTAACCTGGCAACCAGTGTGGTGGTTCATGCCTTAGAGCAGGAGGCAAGAGGCCCTGTGACCACCAAGTGGGTGACTGCAGGCCTCAGAGTCAGGATTCAGAGCCGTGGAATGTGCAAAGCATGACACACATGTCTTGCTTCTCTGTGGTGCTTGTCTACTGAGGGGCCACGACACCCATGGCCAGTGGTTCCAGGGACTAGTGTGCTCCACAAAGGGGGGTGGTTGTGTAAGGAGAGAACAAGAAGCCCGCCAACCTATCCTAGACATCAGATGCCCCTTCCTGGGGGTAGGGTATGTTCTCAGTGTATCTGACAGTCACCAGTGTTCTCTGGAGAGGAGAAAGAGGACAGTTGGTGATCAGGTCATGAACATGGCAGGAACAAAAGGCCCCAGGGTACCTTGCCACTGGCCTGAGACAGCTGCCTGCTTTTTAGAACCCAGTGACTTTTAACTAGGAGCTGTTCTGGGCCAGGTCAGAAAGGCCTCAGGGAAGTATCTGGATATTTCCTGGAGCCCCAGGGCCCAGAGGCACCTGGATGTCACATGTGTGACCTGCTGGGAGAACAGGCAGCATAAGGGAGAGAGAGAAATAGGCCAGGGTGTTGGCAGAAAGATCTGCTCCTTGTTAGCACCCTGGGCGACATCATCTCTGCATGTCCAGCTGCGAGTGCATGTGCCCACCCCACCCCCACCATGCAGAGGTGACTGCATGGGCATGAGCTGAAGGCTGTGGGAGATGGAGGCCACTGTGTGCCCCATCAACTCCTCATTAGCCCCCAGCCATGGAATGCCAGTCCTGGAGCAGGCCCTTGGCTGGGCATGGGATCCCCAGGGCAGGACACGCCTGCCCCCAGGCCTTTCCTGCTGTACAGGGAACAATGCTGCCCAGTGTCCCTGTTCCAGGACTTGCTGCTTGGGAGAGAGCCGTGTCTGTCTCAGGCTGCGGGGAGGCCCCAGAGGGAACTGCACATGGTGGCAGAGCAGGGCCCAGGCTGGCTCTCAGTGTTCTCTCTGAGAGGCAACTAGAGCAGGAGAAGCCCTAGCAGACTTGAGATCTCCTGGGACAAGTGCTAAATTTCAGGGAATGAGGGGCCCAGCATCCTGTGGATGTGAAGGGCAGGTTTGTTGGAAGATACTTGCTTCCACTGCCCTGGGAGGTCCTCCCCTGATGTCGGGCGTGTGGCTGAGGCCATCCCATCCCCTCAGCCCTGCCCTGCTGGACGTGGGCAAAACCATGGGCTGCTCCCCACATTCTCTGCAGGATACCCTTAACTAAAGCAGAGCATGGGTCAAGCAGGAGCCACCAGGTGGGCTACTGCAGTGACCAGATTAGTGCAATTGACTGCAGAAGGGACATACTTCCCTGCTGCTAGAGCTGCGCCTCTTTTTACAGTCAGCAAATCAAATACCTTTTCACGGGCATTAATGTTCTTTCCCAGCCCTCATGCAAAGCTGTGCCTGAGGAAAATCAGTGGACCTGGGACCTAATCCCTTTCTTCCAAGATCCTCCAGCAAGCTCTGCTCTAAGGGGCTATGCACATGTGTACTTGCATGCACAAGTTAGTGTGCGTACATTTGTGTGCACTTGTAAGTGTGCCATGGTGCGTGTGTGTGCATACCTGCAGTGGGTGGACAGAGCTTAGCAGCACTGATTCCTGCTCCACCCACCAGAACCTTGGGTGGACTTCCCTAGGTCTGTCCTTCCTTGGGCCCCTCTTGCCCATCTTAGTGTCCCAGAGTCGCTGCTGCTGTGTACTCATAAAGGACACACTCCGAGGGCCCAGACCTCCAGAGTTCCAAGTGGATGTTCAGTCTGCGTGGATAGGATGGGTGGTGTTCAGCACACAGTGCGCCTGCCCTGTGACCCCTCACCTCAAGGCCCCCACCCCAGAGGCACTTGTTCTGATTCTCCTTCTTGGGCTCAGACTCAAGGCTGGGGGCTAAGGGGTGTCCAGGCCCTGCAGGGTTGGTGTGGTAACCACCCTTCTGCAGACCCTGTGTGTGCAGAACAGGAGTAAAGACAGATCCAGTAAGGGCCCCTACCACCGTCATGTGTGCCATCCCTGGTGAGGTTGTGTACCCAGCTACAAAGAGAATCCCAGAAGAGCTTAAGATTCTGGGGGGCTTCCCAGAGGTGGTACCCAGAGGAGTAGAGGAAGGAAGGCAGGGAGGGAGGGCTGGCCAAGGTATACTGAGGTCACAGAAAAGCCATCACAGGGCTCTGCCTGACACATGGCCGCTAGCCACAGGCACTTACTTAAATTTAAATTAATTAAATTAAGATTTTGGGCTGGGGAGATAGCTCAGTGGCTTAAGCACCTGCCTGGCAAGCACAAGGTCCTGAGTTCGATCCTAAAGTACTCAAAAAAAAAAAAAAAAATAGGAAATAAATTAAGATTTAAAGGCTGGCTCCTCCCTGGCTCTAGCCATTTTTTGAGTGGCCAGTACCCACGCATGGGCAGTACTGCTGCACTGGTCAGCACAGCTATCCTGGAGGGAGGTTCTGCCAGCCCACACAGGGCTGGGGACAAGGTCGAGGCCATGCAGGCAGGCCCAAAGAGACTGGGGGCATCTGTTTTCCAGATAGGAAGTCAGCAAGACCCAAAGAGGCGATAGAAGAGTCCCGGCTGCAGGGCCTGGCACAGCCGCACATGGGCCATGCCCGGGGCCACCAGTGAGCTCTGGCTGCCTAACCACGAGTTGAGACCAGGATTTCTCAAAGAAAATGATTCTTTGTTCCAGTGACCTAAACCAACCTGTGGCAGAGCACTGAAGCATCCTGCACAGGCTGTTCCGAGAGCACCTGCAGGCCCGGGGCTCCAGGAAGCTCAGAGAACAGAACTCTTGCCTCAGTCCATATCCTTTTTCCAGCTAAAACTTCCACAAGTTGACAAGAGCCAGTGTTCTGAGAACAGCCCTGCTGCAAGCCAGTACTTCTGAGCTGAGCACAGGAGCCACTATTCAACTGCCGCGGCTGGACCAGGGAGGGGACTGATAGGCAGGCTTGGTCTGACTCTCGATGCTGCAAGGAAATGAAGTCATTTGTCTACATTTAAAAATCATGAGGTGCCACAAAGTCCAGACTCTCTTGGATCTCAGGAGTCCTGCCCAGTAGGGTTAGCATACCACCCTCAAGGGCACCTGTGTGCCACCTACAGCTGCTGCTGGGTGGCCCGCTTCCTCCACTGAGTGGCTGAGGAGATACCCAAGGTAGTGTGACCCCCACTGGGCACATGGTCAGACCAGAGCCCCCTCAGCAGGGTGCCTCTCCAGACAAGGGAACTCCCATGGGTGCTGAGGAACAGTCTGTCCCCAGCACCAGTACTACACACAGGTTCATGCAATGGTGGAGAAGGAAATCTGTCACTAGGACATGTGATGTTCACGGGACCACCTGGCACAGCTGTGGCCCTACCTGCAGCCTGGACTGTGTTCCTCCCCCACTGGAAGCCCCCCCACCCCGGGTGGGGACAGCAGCAGCACCCGTGGAGGACAGATTTCATGCCACAATCATCACTGTCTCAGACATTCTGGGCAATGATAGGTTAATGTTTCCAGATTCTTAAGGTCAAATCCATGTGACAGGGACTTACCAGAGCCCTCCAACTGGTCCCTTCCTCTTCCAAAGCCTTTCGAGCATCCCAGAGCCTGAGGCACTGGAGACTATCCATGTTTGCAGAATGACATTGGCTGACCTTTCCTGCCTGTGGTTTCATGTCCCTGGCCAGATGCAGGGATGAGAGGTGTCAGCATTGCTTCTAGGGACTGCAGAAGGCACCGAATGCTGAGTCCAGAAGTTCTAGAGGGAGAGAGACAGCAGCCAAGCTAAACTGCATGCAAAGCAAGCCCAACTCAGAGCTGGGCCTGGGCACTGGGACCAGGTTGCACCTATCATGCACCTACACAGGATGTGTGGGAGCCCCAGCAACATAGAAGGGGTCCTGACATCCAGCAGAGCCCTGCTTTTTCCCACCACCATGGACAGGATCCCCATGTGAATGCCTACTCCTGGGACACCAAGAAGGGTCCTGAGGCTCTATCACCCTATCTCCCAGCTTCTCTGAGGACACCTATGTGCCAGGAAGTCCTGGGTCTGGTGTCCATGGGACACACAGTCAGAAAAGCTGCCTTAGCCATTTGGTGTCTCAGAGGGAGGGCTGTTCCAGAATGAAGGAATGATCTGAGCACAGGCAGGAGGCTAAGGATGGGGCTCCAGTGCAGGGAACATGAGGTGGCCGTGACTCAGCTCAGGGGCTGCATGGGGAAGCAGAGAAGCTGAGGCCTAGAGTCTAGTAAAGGATGGCAAGCTTCAGAAGGGGCCCAAAGGGGTGGGAAGGAACTCACGGCAACAGGGTCAGTCTGGGGCATGGCTTGTCCCACCAGACCCACTCCCAGGCCCACACACTGGAGGAGCCTGTGTCCAGCTGGGGGTACCTGCTCTGCAGCAGATTTGCCCTCCCCGAAAATGTGCACCCAGAGCGGCAGGCACAGGGTGTGAACAACCCGAGAACAGACCAGATGGTAAAACAGCAAATAAGGAGGCCATGAGGAGACTTGGGGACTGAGTGCTTTTTAGGTGTAATATGTTTGATTGTAGTGAATATACTTGAACTTTTAGTGACAGCTGTGACCCTGGTTAGCACAGCTCCCCAAAATGTAAGTCAGCTCTCAAAGGCAGGTTACAGGTGCCTCCTTGTAGAGCTGTTCTCAGTGACAGACCCATCTTTTGTTGCCCCATTTCCTCCAGGCAAACGAGGGAGCAGGAGACACCCCCTGACTTCTTTTACTTCTCTGACTATGAGAGGCACAATGCGGAGATCGCCGCCTTCCACCTGGACAGGTAAGGCCCCTGGCCCTGGGGGCCACAGTGCAGCACCATCATAATCACCCCATAACTGCCATCTCGGGGCTCTCCATCCAGAGCAGGCCTTGGGTCAGGGGTCACATCCTACAGCCAGCCAGAACACTGAGCCGCAAGGGAATGACCTGCCTGGAGCCCCTGCCCTACCCTCGATTCCTAAGACCTATGGGGCACTGCTTTGCTGCTACCCCAGCAGAGAGTGGCTGGGACAGATGGTGGGTAGTGAGAGCAGGCAATAAAGGAGGAAAGTGTGGAGGGCTCCGTGTCATGCATTTTAACACAGACTCACAGGGGTGAGCTGCTCTGGAAGTCCATGAAGGCGGCCTGGGGGCAGAGAATGAGTGAGGGTCCCCTGTCACCTGTCTCCCTCCCAAGGGGCAGCTCTGACACTGAAGGACAGTTAATACCAAGTTCTGGTATTAACTTGCTGCTGAGCAGGTGGATGGCTGACCTACACACTGTGTGACAGTCCTGTTTCTGTGCCACTGGGGTCAGCCGGGTGTGGAGGACAAAGACCCCGCCCCGTCACAGCACAGGACAGGCTTGGCCCTCGGGCCTCCGAGGCCTCCAGCCACAGCCTGGACCTGGCTGGTATGAACGCAGCATTGGGCTGACCCCAGAGCCACAGACCAGAGCCTGCATCTAACAGGATCCCAGGTGACTTAGTGAGATCACAGACCTTACAAGTGGTGACTGCAGAAATCCCCAGGAGTCTCATTTTCAACAGCTTTACCCACTTAAAACAGCGGAGACAAAGAAAAGGACAGCCGCGGCCCCAAGCTAGTAAGGCCACTGCCTAAGATACATGGCCCCTCAGGGCAATTCGTTAATAAAGCATGTATCTTAGGCAGTTCAGCCTGAGGGCACCTACAGAGGGTGGGCAGGAGGAGGTGGCAGGGTCCCCATCCACCCCTCCTTGCCTGGCCCTCCTCCAGCAGCCCATTGAGACATCCTGAGTCAGCAGGAAGAGCTCACATGGGCATCTCTATTTAATTAAGCAAGTGGCCGTGCATGCAGCACCACTCAGAAAGAGTTCCATTAAGAATGCTTAATTTAATTTAGCTTCATTTTAAATTTAGCCCTGGAATGAGGGCACATTTCAGTGATTGGGTGCCTGGCAGGGCCGACGCCAGTGCACGAGGCAGCAGCCACATTCCACCCTACTGTGCTGACAGAGCCACTGCTAGCAGCTGGATCAGACTGAAGCAAGAGAATGTGGAGGCCCGGCTCCCACAGAGGCCACTGGGAAGCTGCCTTGGATGGTAAAGAGTCCTTTCTTTGCCCTTGTCTTGCCAGGATCCTGGACTTCCGCCGAGTCCCACCTGTGGCTGGCAGGATGATCAATATGACCAAGGAGATCCGGGATGTGACTCGGGACAAGAAGCTGTGGAGAACCTTCTTCATCTCTCCAGGTAGCCCTGCCCAGCAGCTGGGGCCTGTGGTGCAGTGACCTGGGCCACTGCTGAAAGGAGAAGTTGCTGAGAACCCTGTTTCTCAGCTTATGGCCCTCTGTGGGGGCCAGGTGTGCTCCCCATACAAGGCATGAGGTCAAGGCCACTGTAACCCACTGTTTATTTTGGTATTTAATTACTCATCTTCCCTGGCTACTTAAACCTAGGTTCAAGACTCCACTGATCCATCCACTTCCGAGCCCTTCCCAGCAGCAGCCCACACTGAGCCCCTAGCACTGGTGCATCCTGCATGCTGGGCCCTGGGGAGCCTCTTCCATTCCCGAAGGCACCCAGTGGGTCTCCACAGGCAGGTGTGCTGATGGGCAGAGTCTCGTAGCTTGTCACATAAATCCAGTAATGACCCTTGGGAAACCATGCCTTAGTGTGTGCTGGCACATAAAAGCTCAACCTAAAAGCTCATTTCATGTAGATTTTTCGAACAATATACTCTGCCATCTTTCTTAACTGCATGAGCTGTCAGAATCCAGGGCTGTAAACCCCTAATTTAATTAAGCTCTGTTTTCCTCACCCAATATTCACCCAGCTCTTCATGTGGTTTCTTCCTTTCTTGGAACCCATTCATAAGAGAAAATAGGACAGAACTCCTCAGAGAAGCAAGGAAGGATGTCCCCTTTCCTCTGGTCCCTGGAGCCTGGCAGGAGGGGCTAAATAAAGGCCTAGATGTCAGGAGAGTCTTGGAGGGTTGGTCATCCCCAGAATCATCCTTTCCTGGGCTTCCCCCTAGAAAACCAAAACTGACCTCCATCTGGATCCAGGGCTGGCTGCTAGGATCCTGGCATTTGGACTCCCGTTCACCCCGCGCCCTGCCCAGCCATGGCCCTGATGATCTTCCTCCACCCCATCATCCCAGCACCAGTCAGCCCCGCTTCATGTCCCCATTGCCCGTAGGAACTGGCCCCCTGGTTCCCACCTGCCATCAGACACCCGGCTGCTACTTGTCTTCTGCCTTTTACAGTTTTTATTTTGATCTGCATAGTAATGCATTTCTTTTCTTTTTTCTTTTTCTTTTT